CTCTCTAGAGGGTCAGGTGCAGGAAGTTTTTTTCCTCTCCTTTTTTTTGTCTTTCTGTTTTACCTTCACATCCATTTATATTGTTTAACTTCAAATTGAATAGTATTGCATACAGTCAAATAAAAATACCTCACAGTTAAATGTATGATTTTAAGCTTCCTTTTATTCATGGCTTTAATATTTATTGTACATTAAAGCTTAATGATGAAAGGAAAAGGAGAAGAAAACAGAAAAAAAAGAAGATTTAATGTTACTTGTGCACAGTTAAACTTGTATATTAATTCAGGCGGTGCGTGTGCCAATTGTTTATTTTCCAGTATAATTCAACAGCTATCTCTTAGATATTTGTGTGATGCTAAATAATTCAACATAACATATGTTGTAAATATTTAGAATTCGATAAATGACTCAAACTTCTTACTTATTTATGCCGCTGTGACAAAGCAAGAAGTCAGTCTTCTGACATGTGAATACTGAACAGTAATGTTAATAGATTACTCTCGACCACCAACACTCCCCCCTCTTCTTTGTTTATGCTGTCCATTAAATTTTCTAATTTGCCACTTTCTCCTGCCTGCTGTTTGCAACATCGCATGATCCAAGATAATCAGAAAGAACAATGAGACTGCTGTGCAACAGCAACGATATTGCTCTCTCCACTGCAACTTGAGAGGCTTAGACTCCTACTGAAATGGGAGCACAGACTGTTGTTTATTTGTGTTGATTTCACCTGTCCTTCTACTGGATATCCAATTTACTTTAAATACGACTGAAAATGAAAGACACCGGTTTTTTTATGCTAAAACTTTGACTTTTATGTGATGCATAGAACTAAAACATTCATTTTATGCATCCTACCATGTGCAAAACCTCTTCCAGGTTGCTCCCTCATTTCGTTCTGTGCTGCATATGCAAGGAGGGTCATGAGAGATTTGAGGGGGAGGCGTCATGCTGGGTCGAGATTGCTTTTAACCCTGAGGTTCCATGGGGCAACGTTTCATCTGCAATAAAGTTCCTTCCGGTCCCCACACCATGAGCCTGACACAGCTTTCAGGATAAGAAGAATATATACTAGTTACTTTTTTAGGGCGCCTCTGAAACCTGCTGTTGTACATCTGGTAGAATAACAAACACTGTCTTGAGTGGATGCAATCAGATCTGGTGCCCACTGCATACTTTTAGAATAGCATAGCTGTCCTCTATAAAATTGATGGATCATATTGTGAAAATACTGAGGTAAATTGCTAGTTTACTTTTTTCCCTGTAGTTTTAAAACCTTCACATAGAATTAAAATCACAAAATTTGAAGAAAAATGACAATTCCAATACATTCAGTCTAAGAAAAGTATGTATAACAGTTTAATGGTATGATAAGTTTTGGACTATCTACACAAATATTCTCTAACTTGATTTCATCTTTAATTTTAGTAAAAAAAAAAAAAAAAAAGGAATTCTTTAAATTCCTTGCTTTTCTGTATTTTGTTTAGAGTAATTATTCTTTAAATTTAGTAGAAGTTATACTGGTACATTCACACTTAATGTGATTCCAGTGACCAGAACGAGTATATTTACCCCTATGTAGAGGTGCGTTTAGGTTCTATTTGTCGGCCGTCTTGCAGTGCATTACTTAGACAAATGGATAGGTTTCCTGCAGAAGCAGAAATACAGTGTCTGTAGTTGGTATCCCTGAAGCTGAGTCATCCACCAATCCAGGACAGCAGGTCCTCAAACTGGTTCCTGGAGAGACAGAACTACCTCTGAAAGTGGCTTTCATCCCGACACAGCTACCGAGGTAGGTACTGTAGTGGTACTCTCCAAACTGGCTTAGCTTCTGAAGAATCTGGTGAACCCAGGGAGGCCAAAGTTTGCAGCTTTATTAGGTTTTCCCTAATGAGAAAGCATTTTAAGTGAGTGGCTCAGTAAAAACCAGGTCCGCCATATTGAGATAAAACCTGCAAGCAGCAGATAGAAGCTCATCTGATTTGATGATGTGGTGAAGGACAGGAGTGGAACAAATTACATGGCGATGTGTCAAATGAGCGGAGGTATCTGAATACGTTCAAAAAGTCCTTGAAATTGTGTTTGATGTGAACACACCATAACAGGATGATATGAGCTAATAATTGAATAAGGAGTCCCACCGTTCCAGAACAATCTGTGAGTTTCTTGCAGCTCGTATTTTTTAATTTTTACTAATTAGTGACTTTTTTGTTTGCATGATGCACCAGATGAGTTTTGGTATTTTAAAGTATTAGCACTCTAACAATTTGGTCTTTCTAGTAAAACGAGGAAAGGTTGGTATTTTGGCCAGCAGTGTACAGCAATAGGTGTGGGTGGGGAAGTGCATTAATACCCTACTTTTTGTCGATTCTATTAGGAAGACTTCAAACTATATTGAAAGCTTTGAAGTAGTTTCTTTTAGAAATGATATACATTTTTACAAAAATCTAAGCACATTTCTTACTTTGACTTCACCAAGGTAAGAGATGCATTTATGAAATACCTGCACTTTTAGATTTATGTACCATCTCACCTGAATTCAAAAAAGTGTGTATATTATTTGAAGATTTTGCCTTAAAGTGTAAAAAGAAAAATTAATGATTTTTCTTGTATCCTAAGGCAGCACTGAAAGAACACTCTGCTTGACAAACTGGAATTATTTGTCTATAAATCAAAAAGAAAATTGCCCCTTTTACAAATTACAGAACAGAAAATTGACATGTTAACATTACGGTGGTTGATTTGGTATTGTGAGCTACACAGTGTGTTTCTCTGACACTTTATTTGAGTGGTACAAGGCAAGCATAATGTGTTCTGTCTTTATCTTGTTTTTTCCCCTTTTTCCCTCCTTTAGGAATGAGGAATGTGCCAACAGCTAGTGTTACAGACCTCATATCAATAAATATGTTAAGTTAGAATCTTGTCTTTCAAATTGCCTTTTGTCCTCCCTGCTCTCCTCTTTGTCCCCCATACATCATGTAGCCTTGCGGTTGTATCCGTGCGGCATGTCTGTTAAAAGACCATGCAGCTCTTCCTCGCAGCCATTACCAGATAGTCCAACCCCACTTGTCCTCTGTTTCTCCTCTGATCTACCTCATATATTCAGGAGACTCTCATGTTTCCCCCTTTTTTTTCTTGGAAATTGGAAAATAATTTTTGTTGTAGATTTACTAATTACATCCTTAAGGATTTGATGCTAGATTATGCAAACAAGTAATTACCTCAAAAATGAACTCATAATACATGCCTAATGTAGCTCTAGAAAGTGGTAACAAGCCTATGAACATATACAATATGGCGTAAAAAAAATTGATATGTCTGGGTAAGGAGTTCAGTTCCTATATTTGTGTCAATGTGTCTCACACTGGGCAGCTCCCGTGTAAACAATAGTCTGTTCGGAAGTCCCATAGCTGTGCTCTGATCCTGTTAACAGCTCCCTTGAAACACCAGTCCTGCTTTGCCTCAGCCACTATTTCTTGGCTACAGTAGTTACTATAATCACTGTTTCAGCCAAACCATTACTCAGTACTATCACTCAGGCCTCAAGCTACTATAATACTACTATCAGAAGGCACAGTGCCTGACAAAGACCTCCCAGCAGCTCTGTGTGAATGTAATTGTCTCTTTTCTTGCATCATCAGCCCACCTCTCTTGCTTGTTCGCTTCCCCCTTTTCACCATTAGTGAAGCTAAGATCACAGTGGCAAAGCACATGGATCTCAGAGGCCCTATCAGTGGAGAAACAGGCTATGTGAGACTGTGTTTTGCTCAGTGTCATTCCCTGGAGTGGAGTTTACGGGAATTGGGGAGGAGGGGCTGGGAATCTCCCAGTCTTTCTACCCAGGCAGCTAGCTGTAAAGTCCAATAATGACGGAGAGCTCTGGCTTCAGTCTCGCTGAATTAGAGCTAAAATGTTTGTATCTGGTAGGAATGTGTCTGTAAATCAATTCTGTAAGATTGCATTTTGAGGTTGGAGATGGTTTGAGAACAAACTAATCTACTTTTATTTATCGTCTGGAACAAAACTAAGACTCAAACTGAACTTTGATACTTAGATAAAGAAAGATGAAGATCTTACCGTGGATGCATCTGATGAGATCAGACTATTATTTCCAGAGCTGTTTGTGTTGCTTTGCGTTTCAAATGAAGTCAAACAAATAAATGTATCTATAGATAAACTCAAAATTGTTAATGCCGCTGTCAGATTTAGATGCTGAATTTTATTCAGCAAATAAGTTGAGTTTTTAAAACAAGTGAGAGGCATCTATAACAAGGTTTTAAAACAAATCACTACTTTTTTAATGCGCTGTATTGAAATTCATGATATCATATTTCAAATATTATTACTCTGCAACTGTCCGGGGTGTAACCACCTTTTTGCCCATTTGATTATATATAATGTAATGTTTTTATATTTAATTATCAAATTGAACTATTGAGGAAAAAAATTATATATATATATATAATATACACTACTCTGTGTGCCAGTTTTAGGTATTCATTGACAAATCCTGTAAAGGTATTTATGTTGAATCCATGTGTATGTGCATCAATAAAACTATCCTCTTAACTGCAACCTAAACATGGTTTCCTCATCCATGGTCCTGTCCCGTCTGATCCCATTAGACACTTCTAGCTGTTTGAAGTTTCTACTTGAAAGGCCTAATCTGAATACTGTGGATTTCACAGCTACTCTGCAAACAGTGATTACAGACTGATTAATGAGCCAAAGCAGACACAACTACACACTGTAGCCGCTCAAAGATACACACACAGACGCAGGCTTTCTAGGCCACACACAAATTGAGTTTACTGTAGTCAGTTTGTCGCAACACTCAGTCTGCCCCAGTCGCAGCTGGTTTTCCTTTAAATGCAGCCTTTGCATGGCTTTGTGTTAAATTTATTAGAGTGTTGTTGTTTTGTTTTTTTATTTCCAGTAAATCCAAATATTGATAACAATCTATTGTCTTTTCTGTTTTGTTGTCATGTTCTGTTTTGCAGTGTCTGCTGAAATCCTGAAGAGCAGTCTGGCCACAATGGAGCGACAGATTCAGAAACTTGAGAACGACATTGAGAATTTCCCTAAAACGGATGACCCCCAAGATAAGTTTGTAGAAAAGATGTCCATATCCTTTTTAACCTAATGGTTCTCACACATCTGCACTATTATATTTCATTTGCACTGAATGACATTATTTAATGTGGTTACAGTAGTATTGCTTAAGTTGCATGTTTGTTTTCTGGCCAGCACTGTTGTGCTGTTTGTCGCTTGGTGGGATAGGTGACACCCAGGGGAATGTAGGGGGAATGGATCTGAATGCTTTACTGCAAAATGTTGATCAGATCTCCCTTTTCATTTCTTCCTGTGTCCCAAGAGCGAAAATCGTGCCCATGGCTATTTTTACTTCACCTTGCTACTGATGCCTGTCCCCAGAGGGCCTCTAATAGGGGCTTCTAGCCCCCTCACACCATCTTATCGCCTATCCCTGATTTCATCTTTTGACCGGCCACACAAGCCTCTCCACAGAACCATCTTTCCTTGTGGCACTGCTCCTGTTTTGATAACAGAGTGCTTTACTCTAGCCCAGGCATCTCTACTCCTGCCAAAATTAAATTAGCCTTGTCCCTGATTTTTTTTCAACATCCTCTCTGAAAAGAAAAGGTCCTCAACCTGCAGGTTTGATCAATGGACAAAATCAAATTTTGTGTCAACACCCAGAGGTTAGGTTCCCTTACATTAGAAATAATAAAAAAAAACATTAAAACACTCTCCAGGATCATTTTTGTGGCTTCTAACATAATAACAAGAATGATAAAAAAAATTAAGAGAAAGGTGAGTGGGTGTAATCATACTCTAGATGCTAAAATATAACCTGATACATGCTTCCATTAGTCTTGTATTTATTTACACGTTGAGTGGTATGAGAGTGATATTCTAAAATCAAATAAATGGCTTTAAATCCCTCCTAAAAAGGACTTAAAGTGATGAAATGGAAACTAATGAATAAACGTCAACTTCCACATGGCTGCTAGTGGTTCAGGAACAGAGCTTGCAAGCAGGAAAGCTGCTCTGCCCACTGATACCAGTATTGATTCCCTGAATCCTTGGAGAAATGGAGACTGGAGTGAGAGGAAATGGTGAGGTGTAGATTTACTGCAGTATGGCTCTCTTTCACTGTCTGGAGCTCCTCCCTAGAGGTAAGCAGTGAGAAGCCAGCTGGTCATGACCTGAAAACACTCTGCTACCCTTCTTCTCCCAATCCGACCTACATGGTCTGGTATTAAAAGCTTAGAAAGCTTTTGAGGTGTCTGATATTTTTTCTTCCATTTAAAAAATACATGTATTGATGATAGTTTTAGTATAGAGGGTTGTTGTTTTTCTTTTTTTTTTTTTTTTTATCTCTTTAGAATTTAGGCCAACAAGTTTAATTTGGATCAACATTGAACAAACTGTTCTACAGCTTACTAATAAGATTCGCAGTGGGGCAAATAAATATTTAGTCAGCCACTGATTTTGCAAGTTCTTTTACTTAGAAAGATGAGAGAGGTCTATAAAGTTCATGACGGTGCTCAACTACGAGAGACAAAATGAGAAAACTAAATAGAGGGAATCACAGTAGGATTTTTAAATAATTTATTTAGTGAATTATAGTGGAAAAATATGTGTTTGCCCCCCCAAAAAAAGCAAGATGTCTGGCCTTCACAGACCTGTAGTAACTGCTTCTGTACTGCTTTTGTTTCCTGTATTATTGGCCCCTGTTGTTACTCATTATTGTATAAAAAAAAACACTTGTCCACATTCTCAAACAGTCTGACTAAAAACTCAATCATGGCTAATTCCAAAGAACTGTTGAAAGAAGTAGACCTGCACCAGGCTGGGAAGAGTGAACAGTAGGAGCAAATGTAAGAAAATGGAAGATATACAAGACCATTGATAATCTTCCTCTCTCTGGGGCCCCATATAAGAGCTCACACCATGGGGTCAAAATGATAATGAGAACAGTGAGCAAAAATCCAAGAACTAGAAGTATGAAGGGACCTGATGAATGACCTGCAGAGAGCTGGAACCAGAGGAACAAAGGCTACCATCAGTAACACTCTACACCGAGAGGGACTCACATCCTTCAATGCCAGCCCCCCCACCCCCACCCCACACAAGCCAGTACAGTCTAGGACCGTCAGAGCATATGGATGATCTAGAAGAGAATGAGGAGAATATCATGTGGACAGATGGAACCAAAATAGAACTTTTTGGCACCAACTCAACGTGTCGTGTTTAGGTATAATAATGAATGGGTTGCATCCCATAAACTCCATAACATGGAGGTGGAAACATCATGTTTTGTTTAGCTTTTACTTTTTTTTTTTTTCTTCTGTGAAATAACAGGATGACTGATCTGTGATAAGGGAATAATGAACAAAGCCATGAATGGTGAGATTTTAAACATAAGCCTGCTTCCATCGATGAGAGTATTGAATATGGCTGGTTCTTCCAGCTTTACAATGATTTCAAACAAACCGCCTTGGTAACAAAGGACTGATTATGTTAAAAGCACTTCAAGGTCTTGGAGTGGTCTAGCCAGTTTCCGGACTTCAACCCCATAGAATCATTCTGGAGGGAGTTGAAAGTCCTTGTTGCTTAGCGACAGCCTTGAAACATCACTGCCCTAGACATCTGCATATGAAGGAATTGACCAACATACCAGCTACAGTGTGAGCAAACCTGGTGAAGACTTACAGGAACTGTTGGACCTCTGTCATTCCCAACAATGCTTCTGCTCCAAAGTGCTGAGGATAATTTTTGTTATTGACTTAATAATTATTTTTAAAATATGTTCTTTAAAAAAAGCCTACAATGTTAAANGAAGATATACAAGACCATTGATAATCTTCCTCTCTCTGGGGCCCCATATAAGAGCTCACACCATGGGGTCAAAATGATAATGAGAACAGTGAGCAAAAATCCAAGAACTAGAAGTATGAAGGGACCTGATGAATGACCTGCAGAGAGCTGGAACCAGAGGAACAAAGGCTACCATCAGTAACACTCTACACCGAGAGGGACTCACATCCTTCAATGCCAGCCCCCCCACCCCCACCCCACACAAGCCAGTACAGTCTAGGACCGTCAGAGCATATGGATGATCTAGAAGAGAATGAGGAGAATATCATGTGGACAGATGGAACCAAAATAGAACTTTTTGGCACCAACTCAACGTGTCGTGTTTAGGTATAATAATGAATGGGTTGCATCCCATAAACTCCATAACATGGAGGTGGAAACATCATGTTTTGTTTAGCTTTTACTTTTTTTTTTTTTCTTCTGTGAAATAACAGGATGACTGATCTGTGATAAGGGAATAATGAACAAAGCCATGAATGGTGACATTTTAAACATAAGCCTGCTTCCATCGATGAGAGTATTGAATATGGCTGGTTCTTCCAGCTTTACAATGATTTCAAACAAACCGCCTTGGTAACAAAGGACTGATTATGTTAAAAGCACTTCAAGGTCTTGGAGTGGTCTAGCCAGTTTCCGGACTTCAACCCCATAGAATCATTCTGGAGGGAGTTGAAAGTCCTTGTTGCTTAGCGACAGCCTTGAAACATCACTGCCCTAGACATCTGCATATGAAGGAATTGACCAACATACCAGCTACAGTGTGAGCAAACCTGGTGAAGACTTACAGGAACTGTTGGACCTCTGTCATTCCCAACAATGCTTCTGCTCCAAAGTGCTGAGGATAATTTTTGTTATTGACTTAATAATTATTTTTAAAATATGTTCTTTAAAAAAAGCCTACAATGTTAAATTCCTGGGTATCTTTTAAATTTATTTTGTCTAATAGTTGATTTGTCCCTATAAATAAATTTGCTTTTTCCTTTCTTTTTAAGTTGGAGAACTTGCACAATCAGTAACTGACTAAATACTTTTTAGCCCACTTTACGTGGATGCTAAACTTGGCCTTATATTTTAATTCCACTATTATATCTGCTTGAAATAAGGAAAAAGTCAGCAGACAGAATTATGTAGTTTTAAAAATTCAGGAGATTAAATCATGCTCTAATAAAACTGATAAAATGTCGCTAAACAAATAGATTTTTTACCTGCTATTCCTGTTTCTGATATTGGAAAGTTAAATGTTTTTTTTTTTTTGCTTCCCTCAGTCTATTGGCACAATTCCAAACCTCATTATGCTCCCATGTCTCTCAGACATAATTTCAGCTAATTAAAGTGGGCTGCATCTGCCATCTTTAGCATTTTTGTGTCCATTTCAGTGGTGAAAAAACATGATTGCAGGTTAATTTGAAAACAAGTTTAACTGACAAAAACCACTAATTTCCTCTTGGTTTGATGATATCTCTCTGAAACCAGGTAACTCTGTCAAGTGTTGGCTTTTTAGTCAACTGAGAATACAACAAAACAAAAATGAAACCAATTGATATAGTCATGTCCGTCATGTTAACTTTTGAATTTCTCTCAGCTTTAAAAATATGCACTCCCTGTTATTTAATTTTTTTATAGTTCAAATTACATTTCTTGATTTTATTGCCTTGACTGTAGGAGGAAAGGCAACAGTAAATATTATACTTGTTACTTTATCTCTTAGATACAGTAGATTTGTTTTATTAGTCTCACCAGTTTATGTTGCGCTCCATGAGTTTTGATGTGACACAGCTGGTAAATGTGAAACATGTGATGTGTCCATGTAAGAGATTAACAGCAACTTTTCTTCATTGTACAGGTGATGTACTTAATAGTGATAGTTATGTCTTTCATCCACAAACATTAACTGTTTTTGGAGTTATCTGGAAATGTGCTAAATGTGGTTCAGTGTGGTGGGGTCTTGGAATCTCTTGGTTCACAGTTTAGAAAGGAAAAAACTTTAAAAAGAAAGAAACAAAAAAACCTTAGAGCATTTTGCTCCCTATATTCATGTATTTCAAAAGCTCTGCCAACAGCTGTCTTGGCTGCCTTAAGTTTTTCTAAACCAAATGTTATGTGAGATGCTATTTCAGTTTTCAAGCTATTTGGCATTGTAGTAGCGATGGGCCCATGTAAGGGAAACTAAAATGGTAGTTTGGGTTCATAATGGAATGCAGTGCCTTACCTTAAAGGGAGCAG